TCCATCGATAGCATGAGCAAAATCGAAATGAATATCCGCTGAAACGTGGAAATATACATTGCCACTTTTTTATTGTGTGTGTGTGTGTGTGTGTGTGTGTGTGTGTGTGTGTGTGTGTGTGTGAGAGAGAGAGAGAGAGAGGGAGAGAGAGAGAGAGCCGATAAATCTCCAACCTCGTGGCTCGCGTCATGCTGCTTCCATCGATAGGATAGCAAAATCGGAATGAATCGTTCGTGTGTGTGTGTGTGTGTGTGTGTGTGTGTGTGAGAGAGAGAGAGAGAGAGAGAGAGAGAGAGAGAGAGAGACGATAAGTCCGAGGCCAGCCCAGGAGTTGGAGACTTATCTGTTCGGCGATGTGTATCTCATCCAATCTCTCTCTCTCTCTCTCTCTCTCTCTCTCCCCGCCCAACACAGACCCGGGCCGGCGTCAAACCAATCCCGCGTGCATGGCGAAACAACACGCGCCGCGGCCGCCCGCAGGACGCTCGCCAAATGCGCCGAAACGACACGCGCCGCGAGACCCCGCCCAAATCGGACTGCCTCCAAAGCGACACGCGCCGCGACACCACGCCCGAATGGGACTGCCTCCAAAGCGACACCCGCCGCGAGACCCTGCCTTTCCTCCTCGGACGAACATGCCTGCGCTGGAATACCTCCTCGCCTCGTTCCCGTCATGCAGTTCCCGCTGGGCCCAACGACTGCTGTTACGCTGGGCCCTTTGCAGTTTTTATAAGGTATAGAGAAGAGAAGTATGTTCATGTCACTTTTGAGTATCGAATAAGGCAAAAAAAGACGCGCCGGCAAAGAAACCCGGCTCAGAGTTCGAAACAAAAAGCAATGAAAGTACCGACGGCTGTGGTGTCAGGCCGGGTGTCATATTTACAGGGGTCGGCTGTGGTGTCAGAGATGGGGAAAGAAGGGAAAAATAAAAGGCCCAACGGATACTTTTCGACCCAAATTGCCGTTTCGAAGTCGGCGCCTGTTTTCTTTGCCGGCGCCTGTTTTTTTTCCGCCTTTGTGAACTGAAAACCTGCCACATCCGCACTTGTTTCTTATTTAAAGTTAATTTTTAATTCATTTACCCTGACGAAAATCCTTAAAACTTCTCCTCTGCATTTTCCTTGAAGGCAGTGCGCTTTAGTGCATGCACTCACTTTGCGGAGGGGAGGGTTGGTCGATTCCGGACTTTGCGGAGTCTTGACTCTTACGCCCCCCTAATCCAGAAATTTGGAACCGTGTCGAATGTTATCTGCAGAATACTGGACAATANTTGACTCTTACGCCCCCCTAATCCAGAAATTTGGAACCGTGTCGAATGTTATCTGCAGAATACTGGACAATAATACAAATGCCAAACTATCACTTTGGTGGAGTCTGGTAAATTTTTCAAAAGAAATGATTCAAATGAAGGTGATTGGTTAGCCGAAGGAGTTGTTCAGAGCAGGGCTGACCAAAATGAAGAAAAGAGACACGCGACTAAATGAGGACCTGGTCGCCGCACTGTTAAAAATTACATGAAATTTGTGGAACCAAGAGGAGGGTGGAGGGTTTTTTCTGAGTCGGGAAGAAGAATGTGAGAGGAGAAACAGGGAGAGGAGGGGGGGAGAGAAGGGGGTTATCAGAGAGAAAAAGAGGGGTAAGATTTCACGGGCGAAGGGCTGAGTAGAAAGTGGTTCGAAAGCCGGCCCCGCGTGGAGTAGCAAAGGTGGAGATGACGCTGTTTTTTTTATTTTTTTTTTGCACTTTTAGGATTTTTAAAATTGGATTTTTGGGTATCGTTTCCGCCTTGTTGTAGTGGGCTCGTTTTTTTCTCGGATACTTTGCCGGCAGCTGTGCCAACAGTAACTCGGGGAATTGGGCCTTGCTGCACTACTCTTGACATGCACAAAAGACAGAAATATTGGCTGTGTATCTTTCCATGTTCTAGCGGAAGATTCACTCTCGTTTTGCACATTTCGAGAGTAGTGCAGTGAGGTCCATTATCCTGCCTTGGTAGTTTTTTGCAGACGAGGGGTGGTGTGGTCACGGGATAAAAGTACAGTTTGGGAGTTCATTCTCCTCTTACTTAGCCTGAGCAGCAGGACAGAAGGGCTGGGCGCTTATGTTTTTTTGCATCAGTGACATCGGGTGTTTTTTGCTGTGATATGTAAAGTCCAGGACACCTGGTTTTGTATTATCTATCTCTTGCTTCCAGAACACCCCACGACCCATGTACAAGTGTATGGCATGCTTGTCCTTCACAGTCATTGGATGCGCAGATGGATGGACACTTGTACGGATAACTTGCTCCTCCACACGAACGCAGGCGTGGTCACATATACACACACCTGTGCGACACCTGCACTGCTGACACATATGATGACATGTACAATCACATGCACTCAAATCGACACTCAGACATGCGCTCACACATGCTCATACGTACAGTGACAAGAGTAGTGAAATCTGTGCTGACATGATGAACCTAACATGTGTTTTGTAACCTTTGTTTGCTTTTTTTCCTTCTCTGTATCGTTCCAGTTTTAACGTTTTTGCCGAAAGGCCCGAAAGTGCTGAAACTGATAATGAAATCGCAACCGTTTTCGTTTCTTTTCTTTTCTTTTCCTTTTTTTTATATTCGTAACCATTTTCTCGCGGATAATATCGGTTGGAATAATGCCTAAATTGGAAAGTCCAATAGTCTAGCAAGCTGTGTCAGTGCCTATAATAGTTGGCTGTTTATTCTTTTTTTTTTCTTTATTGGCTGTGTAGCAGTACCCCTACGGCCCGGCAGTGAGACCGGACCAGTTTCAGGCCGTCGGCCTGACCCTGGTCCGGTACCAGGTTGTTCCCGTACTGGACCTAGGCCGGTATATCACTTCGGCCTAGGCCCAGTCCCGGCAGTCAGTCAGTTGGTTCATTCATTCTTCATTCGTTCGTTCATCGAGCCGGACTGGACCTTCACTCAGCTGCTGCTTCTCGTGTGTGTCCATCTCCTCTCTCTCCCCCTCTCCATCTCCATCTCCGCACGTGCCCTCTGCACGTGCGTCACAGGCTGTTTATCTGAATGTCAGTAAATGGTAACACTTTCAAGGATCATCATTGAGAAAAAGAAAAAAAAGGGGCCTCGCTGCACTACTCTCGACAGCACAAAAGACAAAAATCATGGCGGTGCATCTTTCCATATTCTAGCGGAAGATTCACTCTCGTTTTGCACATTTCGAGAGTAGCGCAGCGAGGCCCAAGAACTCAAGTGGTAAAAGGGTTGTCAATGTAGTTGCGGCGCATTGCTGCGCTGTGCGATGCGCTATGCTGCGCGCTGCGCTGTGTGCCTGCCAGTCGTGCGCAATGCGCACACATCGTTGTGCGGTGCATGATGCGCTGCACGGCTCTGAGATGCGCGCTGCGCCAGTGTGCAGGTAGGTGCATGAAGAGCGCGCATCGGTGCACATGGTGCACGCAGGATTTTTATTTTTTTTTAAGGGGGGGGAGGGCTCTAAGGGCGCAGGATTCTTTGAAGAGGAGGGAGGTAGGGAGAGGTATGACGAAGGAGATGCATGATAAAGGAGGAGGGATAAGAAGTATGATGAGGGAGGAGGGACGAGGAGTATGACGAAGGAGGGAGGAAAAGTATGACAAGGGAGGCGGGACGAGGGAGGAAGGAGGAGGAGACTGCTAACGAAGGAGGCCATGTTCACTACGCTGGAGGCCCTTTTTTTTATTCGAAGGAAGTGGAGGAGAACGAAGAAGAGGGAAATCGGATTCGGAAAAAGAACGAGGGAGGGGAAAGGAGAAGAAAGACGATGAAGAACTGTGATGGAGGAGTGGTATGACGAACGAGGAGGGAAGTATGACGAAGGAGGGAGTAAGAGGAAGATAACAATGATGAGGGAGGAGGGGGAAGGGAGAAGGGAGGAGGGAGGAGGGAGGAGGGAGGAAGGAGAAGGGAGAAGGGACCGATGACGAAGGAGGGAGGGGGAGGACAATGACAGGGGGAGTAGGAGAACGATGACGAGGGATGGTTGAGGAGGAGGAGAACGATGGGGAGGGTAATCAAACTTGAATACAAAAAAGAACCGGAAGGGGGAGAGAGAGAGAGAGGAGAGCGTGAGAGGGGCTGGTGGTAACCCACCACTGTTGTAGACGCGGCTTCCTCCGGCTCCTCCCGCTGCGCTGGCGATGGCCACATGACAACGACGAGGCTGCTTCCTGGTGCACAGACGAGGCGATGAAGGCCAACACACGGCGGATGGGAAGGAAAACGTGCCATCCAGCCGCTAAGGTCGACTACCGGGTTTCTGCAGCCAGCATGGTGAGTCTGAGTAGTTCAAAATCGAGCTACGCAGATCTCCCTCGTTTTGCTTTTTGGTGCCCGTGCACGGCCTACAAAAACAATTCCCCACTTTGGTACCGGTTGGCACAAACCGGCAAAAGGGCCTACAAACCCCCCCTTCAACTTTTTTTTTTTTTGCTGACCCCTGATTTTCGAGGTGCGCCGCATGCCATGCGCAGTGCGGCGCACCTGCGCTGTGCAGCGCACCTTGATGCACGGCATGTATGTCATATACTGATTCTAAATGGACCCAAAATCTCTCCTCTTCTCTCCCCTTTGGAGTTTACGCATCCCTTTCTTTTCCTTTTGCACATCCACATGATCCATCATCATGCCTTCAGTATGCGCTGACAATGCCACTCTAAATATAAAACGAGCCAACCGCGCGGCGAACGAAAATGAGTTCGTGAATTGGCACAAAATACAAGTACCGGCGGGTCTCGCACGCGCCGAGTTCGAAAAAGCAAGAAAAGCCACGCGGCACTTCATAATAAGCGCAGATGTCATAACTACAGGGGCGGGCCATGGTCTGCGGAGGGCCTGAGTTCAAAACCCGCAAAAAAAAAAATTACCGCTATTGTGTGCTGTTTTTGCAGTTATAAACTACTGTCCGCCCAAAGTTGCTGTCACGCTGTTTTTTTCTTCCCATTCGAAACTCAAAACCCTGACACCAGCGCATTTGTTTCAAAAAAAAAGAAAAAAAAAAAAAAAAAAAAAGAAGGGAACCGTACTCAGACTAACAGCAGAGCCCTCGTCTTTGCAGCTGCAAGAGGCGACCCAGATGGTATCATCAAGTCCTGCAGGAGAGTGCTTGAACTGACAGGTCTCCCAACTGGATATGAAGTTATAAGAGGCAGGTCTCAAGCCCAGTGCAGCTCAAGTGTCTCACCTTTTTTTTGGCAATACTTTGTTTTCTTTTTTAAGACTCGCCGAATGGAAGAAATTGTGAGGTCTTTGCATGACGATGCTCCGCCGCGGGAGGGAGAATTCGGCACTTACGTTTTCGGGGCCAGAGTGGATGGCCCTATTGACAGTCGTGTGTCATCAGAGGTCTTCGTTGCCATACCTGCAAGCACAGATTTTGACTAAGAGGTGTTCAGGCATAACTGTCTTTTCTTTTTTTCTTTTTTTTTTTTTTTTTTTTTTTTTGAGAAACAGCCCGGGCAGATGCTAGGGATGCTGGTAAGGCATAACTGTCTTTTCTAATTTGATTGGAGAGTGGGACCTCAATCTTGACCATTGCTGTTGGTTTGTTCGCCGAATTGTGGCCAATGATTTCAAATGTGTGTGTGTGTGTGTGTGTGTGTGTGTGTGTGTGTGTTGTCCCGAGAAAAGACCCCGCGGGGCTTCTTTTCTGTGGGTCCGCTGGGAGCGTCTTCCGAGGACCACTTTTCCCTTTAAGTATTAGGTAGATATGTACCGGGAAATCGTACTTTTTCCCAAAGTCTGGATTTTTTGTTTCCAACATCGACTGTCAAGAACTGGTATGGTCTGAGCCCCGTTCCCTCAGAAGGTCAGGTTAAGGGGCTTCTCAGAGAATTAGAGGGGTTTAAAGGTTAAACCACCAGTACATGGGCACCTGGGTCGCGGGTCTGACACCTCAAATTCTGGAGGCGCGAAACGAAAACAGGGTCGCCGATCGAATTTATCAACGGCGGGCCCAGCGTTTGCGTTTCGGCCTCGTTTTCTTGTGGCGACAAGTTTCGGACTCCAAGGCTGGGCCCGTGTACTTGTGCTTTAAGGGATACAAGGGATTCGAAGGAGTTAGGAACTGAAGGGTCATTTAAACCACCGCTGGCGTTACTGGACCCCAATGCTTCCCAGCAGGCCAGTGCTTTTTTACCCTTTTTCTCTTTGCCTGTTGGATTTATGGCTGGATAGCCAAACATTGTTTTCCTTCTTTTTTTTTTTTTAATTCATTTATTTTTTGTGAAGAATGCCACCTTTGGCCTACCAGGCAGGGTGATAAGAGCACCTACCCCTAGTAGGCACCTCCGAAGAATTCAAAGATTCTAATTTGATTATTTCAACGATGTTGTGTTGTGGACGACCTGTGAGCTTTAGGTGCATGGAAGAGTAAGCAGAGGGAATCGGATGGCAGGCCAAGCGCGTTCGGTCTACGGAGCCAGCTGCTTGCAAGGGCCAAAGGTAAGGGCCTGCGCACACGCAAGCTATTGTTGCTTGTTACTGTAGCAAGGAAAGGGAGATTAAAGGTAAAAAGTTCTAAAAACCTAAAAAGGAAAGGAAAGAAAAGAAAAGAATGGGGTCACCTACTCACCGTCACACTCAGTTATTACCCACCCCATGTGGTTGGATGATACACAATATTACACATATGTTTATTATGCAAATCATTGTAAATGTTAGTAAACTGGTCATGAGTTCAAACTTCCAACCCTGATGGAACCAATGAATGCGGTAATGGCCACGGGGACTACAACCTTTGAAAAAAGATTCACCCTCAGATTATGTAAAAAAAAAAAAAAAAAGAACTGGGGAACCTGGTGTTAATGTGAGAGTGATGTCCTAGTTTGTCCGCGTAACAGCCTTCGCATGGCACAGGATGTGCATCTGGAAAAATGATCACAATGAGGGATGCCACGGTGTGAAACCACACTCTGACCATTTCGTGCTGATATCTGATTAAGTGAAGTTGGTGAACACCATCGAGAGTGTGTTGACAGGGCACCAGAGTGTTTGTGGCCAGGCTCTAGGCCCTTTCACATGGTCTTTTGAGCGATTGCTATATATATACCTTGCCAACAGTGGAGGTCTCGTCATCAGACTTTTCAAAGAAGTAATGCTCTACCTGACTATCTAACTATTTCTTGAGGACTATGGTGCTCCATCTCAGATCCACTATGTGAATCATCATTGCTGTGACCAATCTCGCCACCCCTCCCTGCCCTCCCTACCCTCTCTCTCTCTCTCTCTCTCTCTCTCTCTCTCTCTCTCTCTCTCTCTCTCTCTCTCTCTCTCTCTCTCTCTCTCTCCTTTGTGGGTGTGTTTTGATCTCTCTTTCCTTTGTGGGTGGGTGTTTTGAGTGTGTGAAATGACTGATGGCGATTTCATTCTCAGTTCGCCTTGTGTTTTGCTACTTTGCTATGTTTCTGAGTTCTGTGCGGTACGTACTGATCGCTGTCCTCGTTTGCATTTTTGTGTCTTTCTTGTACGTGTGTGTGGCTACTAGCGTTGGCTTGTCCGTAGGATGATGTGACACTTGGAGAGGGACATGCTTGCAAATGGATCAACCTGGAAGGGCAGACGTAAACCTCGGTGACAGGACAAAAGGGCAACTTGGTAATAGAGGAACAGCTGCAAAGTCTTAGGGTCTGGCGTGAGTTTATCTGCATTTCAGGTCTGGGACCTGTCCGGTAGGCATAGACGCATAGCACACCTGGGTACGTGGCTGCACCTGTCCGCAGTCGTATGTAGGTAGGTCCCGGTACCAACGCGGGTTGCAGGCGGGCCTGGAAGGCGTTACTTTCCAGCCAAACTGGAGCTAGAAGGGCATAAAGGCTACCATGCAGCTGCCCCCCAGCCACATTTATGTAGGACGAGGTAGTGATCAAAATCTCCTGCTAACTTCAGCGCATAATTGCACCTCTTGTGCTGCTTCACGGTTCCCGGGGGCTTCAGGGTTTCTGGGAGCTCCATATGACCCCGGTAGGAGGTGCTTGGATGGTGTGTGGAGCTCCTGGCTATGGGGCAGCTTTGCGGCTATGGCAGCATAGACGGTCCGTGTCTTTGTCTACTTGTGTATTTAACTCAGGGAATCGATGAGGGACCTAGCTAACGCGTTAAACACTCCGGCTGGGGAGTACGGTCGCAAGGCTGAAACTCAAAGGAATTGACGGGGGCCTGCACAAGCGGTGGAGCATGTGGTTTAATTCGATACAACGCGCAAAACCTTACCAGCCCTTGACATATGAAAGAAACTCCTCGTAAGAGATGTACTTTGACTTCATACAGGTGCTGAGGCATACAACTGCTCCATGGTGATTCAATTGAAGGGATGGAGGAGAGAATTCACGGTTCCGGGAGCTTCGTATGACCCTGGTAGGAGGTGCTTGGAGCTCCTGGCTATGGGGCAGTTTTGCGGTTACGGCAGCATGGATGGTCTCTGTCTTTGTCTTCTTGTGTATTTAACTAAGGGAATCGCTGGAGGCCTACAACTGCTCCATGGTGATTCAATTAAGGGGATGGAGGAGAAAAGATGAGCTGGACACTGTAGCTCGCCTGGTGGGTTTGTGGGAGAGGTGCGCTCTCCACCGCTGCTCAGTGCTTGAACCTGTCTCTTATACACATCTAGATGTGTATAAGAGACAGCTTCAGAGGCACTCATTTCTGACTCGTGCTGCTACTGGGAGGCTCTGTTGGAGGCCTCGTGGAGCGGTGAGATGCTGGGGGGAAAGTTACAGCTGGTGTTTCTGAGCAGTAGCTGCTAGGTTGTGGTCCTTTGATACGTCTGAACTGGTGATTCAATTAAGGGGATGGAGGAGAAAAGATGAGCTGGACACTGTAGCTCGCCTGGTGGGTTTGTGGGAGAGGTGCGCTCTCCACCGCTGCTCAGTGCTTGATGTCTTCAGACTCTGGGAGGCAAGACGTTTCTGAGAGAGCATTGATCGAGTTTCTTCTCTCATTTCTAGGCGTTGAACCTTGAGAGGCACTCATTTCTGACTCGTGCTGCTACTGGGAGGCTCTGTTGGAGGCCTCGTGGAGCGGTGAGATGCTGGGGGGAAAGTTACAGCTGGTGTTTCTGAGCAGTAGCTGCTAGGTTGTGGTCCTTTGATACGTCTGAACTGGTGATTCAATTAAGGGGATGGAGGAGAAAAGATGAGCTGGACACTGTAGCTCGCCTGGTGGGTTTGTGGGAGAGGTGCGCTCTCCACCGCTGCTCAGTGCTTGATGTCTTCAGACTCTGGGAGGCAAGACGTTTCTGAGAGAGCATTGATCGAGTTTCTTCTCTCATTTCTAGGCGTTGAACCTTGAGAGGCACTCATTTCTGACTCGTGCTGCTACTGGGAGGCTCTGTTGGAGGCCTCGTGGAGCGGTGAGATGCTGGGGGGAAAGTTACAGCCTGTCTCTTATACACATCTAGATGTGTATAAGAGACAGGCGTACAAACACTACGGCAGCTATCGCTTGAATAAGACCCTAAAAGCGGTCAATATGCACCCAGAAAAGTCCTCCTGGTGCCAGTATGAACTTGCAGTATATCCCAGGTACGAGTGCCACAGGGAAGTTCCGGTGAAGCAGTGCCAAGAAACAGGATATGATGAAGTGCTTCTCTCATGCTATATCACGTATACTAAAAATACAATGGAATTTTATGCCTTCCTGAATTCAGAAAAGAAAAAAAAAGAAAAAAAAAAAAGAAAGAAAGAAGAGAAGAAGAAAAAGGGACTACATTCTTCTGTCAATCAATCACAGTGGGTCCATGCCTGGGCCCATGCCTGGGCCCATCTCTCCACGGAATCCCAGACGTGACAACCGGGCAAAGAGAACCGCACCTCACATACCAAAAATGGAAACCTCCGCTTTTCTGCTCCCGCGCTCTGTTTTGTGTGGATTCCCACCGGCCACTTCCAGGACTATGATACGAGTAAAAGCGCAAATACACACTAAGACTATTTTGACAGGATCTAGCTGGAATCGAGCCCAGATTCATGCTCGGAAGTCCTCGTGTGAGTATGCCCTTACTCCCTACCATGACTACTGCTCCTGCTACTACTACTGCTACTACTACTGCTACTACTAGTAGGGTCATACTCACACTCCTACTTTTTGACAGAATCTTACTACAGTTGCGCCTAGATACATTGCAAAAACATCGAGCGAGTGTGGGTTCAAAATGGTAACCCCTCTGGTGCTATCTTCGTGCTTGGAAAGCATGAACCTGCCCATAAGCGTGGTCAAGTTCGTCCTGTGCTAGCATGACACAGATCGTGAGTTCACCAGCGGGGCCTGGACCTTCCTACTGCTAAAACTACCACCTTCCCCCGAACACAACGCACCCCATGATGACTGTATGTATATGCATTCATGATGGAGTGCGTTGTGTTCGCGGGAAGGCTGTCGTACAACTGCCAGCACTACTTGTATTACAGTGGGATTACACAATTACGCTGTGACACAATCACTTCGTTTATCTTGAAGGAGGTTGGTCACCAGAAAACTGGTTTCTTTCGGCTGGCCAGAGAGAGTCGTCGTGACCAACGCCCAGAGAATATGTCGACGACGGCGCAGCACTTCGTGTGTTGTCCTCTTACGCACGGCGCAATATAACCAAATAGTTGCTTCGCCAATGAAGGATTTTTTTTTCTTTTTTTTTTCAATGAAGGATTTCGTGCAACAGAATGAATCAAAGAAAAGAACTTGACACAATCACTTCGTTTATCTTTCATTTCCCTATACAGAAACGAGAGAAAACTCCTGAGAGCACCTCCTCAGCTACGTCATCGCCGCTGATCTGGCCCAAGGCCAGAGCAGCATCGCGAAGATCGATGGTCCAGAAATCGACTGGCAAATTTTGCTCAATGCTTGCCTTGACCCTCTCCAACGCTTCGCCCGCACGGACTAGCTGTTCTGCCTGTCTCTGATTGACCGTCCAGCCAAGGCCATCCGACGCAACATCACCCACACCCACAAGATCCAAGATAGCCCTCTCGAGATCGTCGATCCCTGATCCGACGGTGGCACTCGTTGCAACCATGGTTCTGAACACGTCCGCAGCGTGAGGTGGAACCCTCACAGCATGGAATGGCGCTCGATCGACCTTGTTCACTGCCAGGATGGCCGGTGCCAAAGGCCGCCGCCGCCTCCTGGCAAACTGGGAAACCTGCTGGGCCTCCTCCTGGGAACCGACCTCGGCCGGAACAGCTGCTATGGACATCGGACCAGACAGGGAACCGGCCTCCCAAACACCTCCATGGAGTGGAGAAGAGGAAGAAGGCGGCGAGGAGGAGGGAGCGGTAGCATGATCATGACTTCCAGTGCAGCAGCCCCAGATTCGCTCAACGATAGTGTCATCGGCGTCCGTCCAGCCATCTGCGGCGCTGACGACCATGATGATGACGTCAGCATCAACTGCCGCTGACGTGGACCTCTGCACTCCTATACTCTCTACTTTATCCTGAGTCTCCCTGATACCTGCAGTGTCCAGCAGTCTGACAGGGAACCCACCAACTACGACACTAGACTCTACGATGTCCCTCGTTGTCCCCGGGATCTCGGTGACGATGGCGCGATCCGTACCACTCCACGTGTTCAACAAGCTGGATTTCCCGACGTTCGGCCGGCCTACGATGACAACTTCCATGCCAGACTGCAGAAGACGCCCTCTCTTAGCAGTGCAAAGAGCTCTTTGGACCTCTTTCCACATGGCGGTTAGTCGTTGAGCCAGCACCGTCGGATCGAAGGGAGGAAGTTCGTCATCGAAATCCAACCTAGCCTCCATCTCCACCAGCAGATCGATACACTCCGCTCTCAAGGAACGGATGATCGACGACATTCCTCCCTTCAGCCCTGCAAGAGCGGAGTCCGCCGCTTGGCTAGTGCGTGCAGTCACTAGATCGGCGACAGACTCCGCCTGCGTCAAGTCCAACCGGCCGTTCAGAAACGCTCTGAGAGTGAATTCCCCAGGCTTAGCTAAGCGAGCCCCGCATTCTAAGCAGGCCTGCAAGACGCGCGAGACACACACCTCTCCTCCATGGCACTGCAGTTCCACCACATCCTCCCTCGTGTATGATCGCGGAGCAAGCATAGGTACCACGATTACCTCGTCCACGGGGCGACCGTCGCCATCTACCACAGTACCGTACTCCACTCGATGGCTCTCCGGTCGCCACGTGGCATTACCTCCTGCCTTTCGTCGTTTTCTTGCGGGTTGAAAGACTCTCGAAGTGATAGCTATGGCATCCCGACCCGAGAGGCGAACGATCGCGACAGCACCCTGCTGCCCTGCCACCGCCGTCACTATGGCAGCGATCGTGTCAGTGCTGACCTCGGCACTACTCGACGTCGTCTGTTCCTCCTCCTCCTCCTCCTCCTCCTCAATCCCCGTAGTGGTACACTCCCTCACTTTGCTAATTCGCAAACGCTCTGCTGCTGCTGATCTACCTAAAACGGAAAAAGATTTCGCCCTTCCACTCCGGACTGACGACGATAACGACTCGTCACACTCTTCCTCCTCATCACCAGAGGAACGGGATCGTGTCAACGTACGCCGCGACTGCCACGTGGCGCTCGACGATGACACGTGGGGAATCTCGTCTTCCTCCTCCGCCGCCCGCGTCTCCCCCTCTCCCTCCCCCTTCTCCGTCTCTTCCGAGGTAGCGTGTTCTGAGGGGAACCTTCCACCCATGCGCACAGAAGTCTCAGCGAACGGGCGGCGAAGCTGCGACTCGTTCAACACCCTCCTTCCACCTACGTCTGCATAATACTCGTCGGCCTCCGACCATACAGCAGGCCCCTGCTTGCTCTGCTTACTCGATGTCGCCGCCGTTTCTATCATAGATTTCGTCGAGACGGAATGGCAGCTCATCGACGGATTAGGGAGCTGAATCTCCCGCGGATCACCGTTGTCACCACGAGACGCGGCAAGCATGGACGACCTCGCAGATGCTCCTGCTAATTTGGCGCCATTATATGCTACAACTCCCGCCACTGCCTCCCCGTTCCAAGCAGCCGCAGCAGCAGCAGCAGAAGCAGAAGACGACGGACCAGAAGCCGCAGCAGCAGCAACAGCAGCCGCAGAAGAAGAAGAAGAAGAAGAAGAAGAAGGAGGAGGAGGAGGAGGAGGAGGAGGAGGAGGAGAAGGAGAAGAAGAAGAGGAAGAGCGTTTTTGGTTACCATTCATTATCATCATGGGCTCGCAGCTTGACGTCTTTAATCGGACAAAGGGAACGAACGGTGAAGTTCCGCCTAATCGCAGATCATCACCGGAGGGCCAGAAGAAAGATCGCGCCATATTGTGCGAGAAGGCAGGAGGAAGACGGTTCCAATATCCCTTGGTGACGTAAAGTGAGGGACACGCCGGCCTTCTCTCCCTCTCCACGAACCTTGTCATCTTCGTCATATTCGTGGCCGATCTCCCGCCATCGCCATTCGAGCCCCTCATCATGACATTGTCAGGGAACGGAGGATTGCCCAAGTGTCCCGGCAGAGAGTCGAAACTTTGCCCCGCGCCCAAGTGTCCCGGCAGAGAGTCGAAACTTTGCCCCGCGCGCGCTGCGGAAAGCTGAGCGCGGTAGCTGCTGCCCCCCAGCAAGACATTCTCCCGAGGGCACTTCCCCCCCCCCCATCCCTTAGTCGCCGGCAACCCTTTCCAAAGGCAATCGTCTGCCGTTTCCCCCTGTATATGACTCCTTCTCCCTTCTTCCCCCCCTCGAACACCCCATCGATGAAGGAGCGGGTGTCGCTCGCAACCCCGCCCTCGACTCACGTCTTGACACGTGGCAGCGAGCCCCTGCCTTGTCCTACCCCTCTTTGATCCATGTGACAGACCATCATAGCTCCCCTTCAACGACGTCCTCGCCTCCAAAGAAGAGGGAGAAAACGTACGAACTGCAGATCTGTGATGACACCGGGCCCAAATGACGTGGATAATCTGTTCCTGCTCCGTTGGGCGATCCCGCACAGTTAGGCACCCGCCGGCTAAACGCCGAGTCGAAGCCGAGGCCGCCGGCATCCTCGAGGGCGGGAGGCACCAGATTTCCATTACAATACGACAAACGGTCGCCAGTGCGCAACCCGCGTTCACTCTCCTCTGGCTTCTGCTCCCGCTTTCGCTTTTGCTCCTCCCACTTTTGCTTTTGCTGCTCCCGCTTTCGCTTTTGCTGCTCCCGCTTTTGCTTTTGCTGCTTCCGCTTTTGCTTTTGCTTTTGCTTTTGCTACTCCCGCTTTCGCTTTTGCTACTCCCGCTTTTGCTTTTGCTGGTCCGGATTTTGCTTTTGCTGCTCCCGCTTTTGCTCGCTTTTGCTTTTGCCGCTCCCGCTTTCGCTCGCTTTTGCTTTTGCTGCTCCCGCTTTTGCTCTTCGCGATTTCTTGCCACGCGGTAACTGTGCTAATGACCAGATATGCCACGTCGGAGGACGTACCCTTGCTTATCATCTGTGTTCTCCCGCCCGTCAGAAGCCTCTTGGCGGGGAATCGTCTGTCTTCTCCCGCCCGTCAGAAGCCTCTTGGCGGGGAATCGTCTGTCTTCTCCCGCCCGTCAGAAGCCTCTTGGCGGGGAATTATCCGTCGTACCGTAGGCGAGCCATCGGACGACGCCCTGGGGCTAGGTCCCACTTGCACGAATTAAGAGATACTGACCGTAGATAGCAAAGATCAACGGCCGAAATCTCCTAATTTGCGCAAGTGGGACCTTGCCCCTGTTGATGAAGACCATGGACATAAATATGCGATATGAAGGAGACCACGAGCATGACTGTAACGATGGCGGCGATGGCCAGGGGGTTGCGCGCGCACGCGCCAGGATATCAGCTTCACGAAGGCAGGAGTTTACACGTGTATGCATGTGATCCTGTTCACCCCACATTCCGTCAAGATAGTTCTTTTTTTTTTCCGTTTATTTCGTGGGAGCCAAGATATCTCAGGGCAATCTCAGGGCAAACTCAGCCTAGCTCAGTTGGTAAGGCACAGAAGTTGCATTCAGGAGGTCGTGGGTTCAATCCCCATTGGCCTCACGTACGTGCCTGGGCAAGCTTGGTGTTCTACCAGCTAGAGATAACCCGTTGGCCCCCCAAGCCAGCATTGGCAGGACCTTGGTTGATGTTGTTGGTTGCTATGCAGCGACAATATTGGCCATTAGACACCGCCATGTGGGGTTTCGCGGGGGGTAGGGGGAGGTGCAGTGACTGGCCATTGCCCGGCGCTAGCACCGCCGATTTCCCCCGTCGGCAATGCCTGCCCACCCCTCGTCACCGTGATGCCCACCCCTCGTCACCGTGATGAGGGACTGGTACAGCCTTGCTCTCGCACCACTGATGTGGTGCCAACCTACCCCGTGGGCTGGGGAGAGATCCGGGTTGGTTGGTGTTCCCCTGTACTATACATAGACTAGTGAGAGGATGAGATAGATGAGTACTAGCAAGAAAAATGAGATAGATGAGAGAAGAATATAGCTTTTTAAAAAGTAAAAAAAAAACTAACAGGAGCACATTTTCACATACTTAGGAACCTGATTTGGGGGGTCCAGATTCTTTTCTTTTGGAAATTTTTTGAAATGCCCCTCCGACTTCCATTTATTTGTGGTATGCCCCTCCGGCGGCCGTGCCCGTGAGGCCTCAGAAATTTCCTGCAGGCCCCTGTCAGTGAGGGGTGCAACTTTCCAGCATGCCCGTGGCCGTTGGTGGCACTCGCAGCCATTCCCTCGCAGGGCACTCGCAGCCGTTCCTTTGGCCCTGCAAGAGGAGCTACTGGGGCACCGGCAGGGGCATATTGAACATATTTCAGGCCCAAACGACTCCAGGGTTTTTTTGGAAACGTCAATCGTTGTCAGAGGGGCGTGACAGGGTCAGTCGGCCATCAGAGGGGCATGCCGCAAATAAACGGAAGTCGGAGGGGCATTTCAAAAACTTCCGCCTCCTTTTTTTTTTTAACTACACTATATTCTTCTCTCAAATTCTTTATCTTTCACGACCTCCCTACCACTACTAAGGCTGTACAGGGGACCCCTGCAAGCATAGCTATCTACCTCTCCTGGTGACGGGAGGTTACCTCCCTCGATGGAGGGGAGTAATTACATGTTTGCCGCTTGCCCAAGTGGTTCAGGGTGCAGGGTTGGGGCCGCCGGTCGGGACCCAGCTAACACAGGGACCGGGCATTTGCCAGTAGCTGCACCTCCGTTTTCGTCTTCCCCCACCCACATCAAGTAACAGCAGTATCGAAGGCCAACACTCTCCCAACTCACTAACACTCGCACTCAGACCGTGTTTGCTGAAGATCCTACTAATACGGACCGGGAGGAGCCAGCTGACTATCTCAGTTGGTTGGCACCAAGCTTACCGCCGGCGCCCATGGGGATTGAACCCAGTACCTCCTGAATGCCACTTGCATGCTTAACCAATCGGTCTATTGTATCTGCATCCGGACAACAGTTGCCCTGAATACAGGTATAATGACCGGGAGTCCTATTCGGGTGAAGAGGGCTGGATCACACCACTAGTGTATCCCACCTTTTTCTGAAAAACTCTTAACCAATTGAGCTCTGGTCTATTATAGCTGCATCTGGATGAGACCACAAGTGTATCCGACCTTTTCTTTATTAAAAACAAACAAGGGGGTAACTTCAGTAGAGTCACAAAAATGGCTTATAATTGCACTATGGGGCAAGATACAGTTTGCAATTGCACTTCGGGCACCCTACCTGGCCAGAAAGCTGGGTTGTATACATTGCCCGAACTGCAATTTGAAACTGTATCTTGGCCCATAGTGCAATTATAACTCGTTTTTGTGACTCCCGCGTACTTTCCCCCCAAACAATATATCGTCGTCGAACTGACTGGCCCGAGGTCATTCATCTGGATTCGAACTTGGGCCTGCACTTCAACAGTTCGTGGGTGTCTTGACCGAGCTGGCCCCAGGTCATTCATCTGGATTCGAACTTGGGTCTGTATTTCAACAGTTTGTGGGTGTATGGACTGCGTTAGGCCCATGGCGGCTGCTGTGCCCCTGGACAATGCCTACTGGCCCCAGGTCATTTCCACTACAATAGGCATAAAGGCATGATTGGTACCACAAAGTCCACTACATTGACCATACTAAACTCCTTGTTTGATAAAGATGGGAGTCTGATTTAAAAGACCAGGTACGGCATCACATTTGACACCTAAGGAAGGTACTGCCGTAAGGAAGTACATCAGCAGATGTTATAATCGTACGTAAATGAGTTTTGGCTGTACAACCACTCGATTATCTACTTCTAATAAACGTAATTGACCCAATTCTATATCATCCTCTGGAATCACTGTATTAATTTGTGTAGGTTCTTGTAATTTCACGGAAATCGTCATAGCATAAAAACAGATATTGTTTGGTATTCCCCTTTTCTTTTATTGAATCTGTTTTTATTTCTTGTTTCGCGGAAAGGAATCGCGCTCCTTTTGATTTACCAGAAGCGGATTCCAAACTTGGGTCTGTGTTTCAACAGTTTGTGGGTGTACCAACTGTGGCGGTTGCCATGCGCCTGGAACACACCAAAATCTTTGGGTTGGACCCAACAGCGGCGTGGAAAGTTGTAGACTTTCCAAAACGCGGTTGTGACGCCCAACCTCACGCCCAGCGCGACTTCCTGATCGGAGTGGAGTGTGGGCCTGGAAGTGCGAAAAGGGGTGTGCCAAGGATTTTTGGGGGAAGTGGGGGAGTCTCAAGGGTATGAATGCAATTAGGCGAACGAGGGGTGCGCGCGCAAGGGTCTCAAGTCCGAAGGGACCGGGACACTGTGGGCGACGGGTAACGGGAAAATTCCTCCATAGTGGAGATGGTCCTGAAAAGTTAGGCCGTCGGGGGCCGCCACGTGGCGCAGGCCGCCGCATACCTGGGTTGGGCCTTCGGAATTCCGGAGTTCTATGTGCGCCGCTGCGTCGGCAGTTCACGCAAAACGTATTGGGCCAATAGGGGGCTATGGCCGGCCACGAAACGACACTGAGTTGATGATACGGGAGAAGGAGGCAGAAAAGAGGGAAACTGGTGGTGATCTCAACGAATCCCGGGTGGGTGAAGTGGTAGGTGTGGTTGGGAGAAGGGAAATCGGAGCACCAAGGGTCGCTAGAGGTGGCACAGTGGAATTCCCGCGGACGTAATCGATTCTCCGTGTAATAGGGGTATCGTGTTCTTATGAGCTCGTTTATTATAGGGGTGAAATAGTTCGGGTCATAGGATGAGTCTGAGCCCCAAGATCGCATCATGGTATCATCGTTGGTGGGATAGCGCGGGTCAGGCTATCGTCACCGCGCACGAGCACGTGTAGGGCAGGCAAACTTAGTAACGCCTCAACGTGCTCGTACGGGATGATGGTTCCGCCGCGAATCCTTTTTTGGGTGATCGAATCGATGCACGGGAATTCATGTAAGGGCGCGACTCGGATCGCGTTTACACGTGTTCTCGCTCGGCGTTCGCGGGGGCAGACTTCGGATCGTCGATTATGCAAGTTGTAATCATATCACAACCCCATCGCGGGATAAGCAAAAACGAGAACAAACCCACTATCGGGGCCAGATTCCTATCCCATCTACAGCGACATCAGGTGCAGGCAAAGGATTCGACATAGACATAACGCAAGGACAGGGATTCTCAGCAAAAAGATAGACAAGCAGTCATAACATCCATACATCCATACATCCACACATTCGACAATCATACACATAATGCAAGCATGACGGACATCGCAAGGACAAATGTGAGCAAAAACCCAAGCCCAGATTTCAGAAAGCCGAAACGAAAATAAGAACGGGCAAACCGCCCGAAGCCGCAATCAAAATGTATGTACACAGATGAAGAGGGGGAAGAAACAAGAAAACAGCGAATCCGGGTCCATCAACCTCAACTCTCTTTTTCTCTCTCTCTCTCTCCGATGCGGACAGTCCGTCGTCACGCACCAACCCACGAAGTTGTCACCCCGCTTAGCCCTCCCGCACCCGTCGGATTCGCCCGTGCCCACAGTCCGTCGTGGCCCACGTCAATCCCGCGCGTTYGGCACCAGYCCGTCGGKTCGCCYAACTCCTGCTCTACTCACCTCTTACTTYGCTCGTGTGCCGACCCTTCCTRATCGCGCAACCCCGAGCTTCCAACAACGGGCTAAGAGAGTTGACTAATCGCGCAACCAAGATTTATAGCGTGCATGCATGCGCGAAGAACACGGAATTACCAGGACTTAGAGTGAGGATTAGAGAGGGAACGCCTGCGTTYTGCATGATCGRYCGCGGCGTGGGGAACGTAACCCTTCTCCACGCATCGATCCGAGCATGCAAGCCGCGGCTYACAAAATTTCAGCAAAAGAAAGAGAGGGAGGGCGGGAGAGACGAAGTGCAAGAAGAGAGATACAGTTACAATGGCGCCCGCCCAAAAKTACAGTTACACATACGATTAAGGGCGCCCACTAATCAGAGTACCGTTGCAGCCGCATGAAGAAGCGCGTAAACAAAAGGCGCCGCGYGGCAGGAAAAATTMTARTTACTMAATTCCTAAATTCCTACCTACTGCGAAAAA